TTGAAGTCCACCCATCTTAAAATTGCCAATGTGGTGAAACAGTGTCCTAAAGTGAAGTGTGTGTGTTGGCTATGCCATAAGGTTGCAAAGTGTGAAGGCCGCAGGGTTGCACAGTTGACATTGGAACCGCCCGAGACATGAACGGTGGCCATCTTGTCTTTCCTCTCCTGCTTCTGTGTGGGACGGTCTTTCTGGAGACCACTGTCTCCTTCTTCTGACCTATCTTGCCTTCTCTTCCAGATCCCCAAGTCCTTGGTGCCCCATTACTGCGAGCTGGTTGGGGCCAACCCCAAACTACGACCCAGCCCGTCCAAATTCCTGCAGAATTGCTCTCGGATGGGTGGTTTCCTGGACAACAAGTTTGTGGAGACCAACCTCTTTCTGGAGGAGATCCAGGTGAGAATGGGGGGGAGAACGGCGTCTGTCCGCCGAAGGCTTCTGGCCAGTATCTGGTCGATGTTAGGGCTTTCCGTGGGGCTGAAGGTCCTGGCTGTGGGTCAAAGAACTTGCTTGAACCTTGGAACATTTGAGATTCCAATCTCCAATCTGGAGATGTTTTGCCATTCACACGTTATCACAATAAAATACAGGATTTTTTTTAAATTGATTTTTTTTACTGATCCCTTTTACTAAAATATGATGTGAATGTGCCATATGATTAGATAGATAGATAGATAGATAGATAGATAGATAGATAGATATGGATAGATATACCAATAGATAGATGGATAGATAGGATAGATAAAAATAGAGATAGGTAGGTGGATGGATGGATGGATGGATGGATGGATGGATATACCAATAGATGGATAGATAGTATAGGTAGAGATAGAAAGATAGGTAGATAGATAGATAGTATAAATAGATATACAGATAGGATAGATGGATGAATGGATGAATAGAGATAGAGGTAGATAAATAACGATAGACAGACAGACAGACAGACAGGATGCCATAAGGCAGCACTTCCCATACCTGGTAAATCACACCAAGTTGTGTAAAAGTGATTTTTTTTCCTGGTATTGGCACTCAAACCCATGACCCATCACACCAGGAGCATTGAATTGGCCTTCAAGATGGCCACGTATCCTAAAATATATTTTAAAAATTCCCAAATTTTCCTACAAAGCCAAAAATCATTGAAATTACCAATGGTAGTTTGTTGAAAAGTTATAATAGCGGTCACACTTAGACCAGAGTCAGCCTCTTGCCCCCAATAATCTGGCTCCTCATTTTACCCACCTCGGAAGGACGGAAGGCTGAATCAAACCTTGAGCCAGGTCAGGATCGAACTGCTGGCAGGGGGCAGAGTTAGCCTGCAATGCTGCATTCTATCCACTGTGCCACAATAAAGATCATCCAGTGATATTGTTCTTGAGTTACGGCTGTTTGTTATGGCGACCATTTGAAGTTCCAGCAGTGCTGAAGGAAGGGACGGACAACTGGTCCTTGACGTTTGATAAGATTTTTTTTTGATAAGTGGAAGGAAAAAATTTGGGATGCGCTGCCCCCAATATGTTCCTATACAACAGTAATTTTCAAGCACTGTCACTTTAAGACGTGTGGACTTCAACTCCTAGAATTCCCTAGTACACGTCTTAAAGGAGCCAAGTTTAAAAATCACTGCTGTAGAATATACAGGCACGAAACCTCCACTCAATGGCTCCCAAAGTTGTTTAATCCAACCAAAAGGGTGTCAAATATCCTGGTTAGATAATGGGGCCTTTCCCACATGAGATCGCAAGTCCTTCTTCAGAACCTGGATCCAGCTTCACTTTTTAATTTTTAATTTTATTTTTGCAAACATTCCATCTTTTCTTTAAACAGTGGGTACAAATATCTTGTGTCATAATATTTATGGTTAATATAATTCCCTTACGACAACAATAATTACATTACATTCTTATTTTAAACTACTATACATAATATATCTTATCATTGTAACCATCCCCTTCCTAATTCCTTCCCCTCTATGTTGATATGTTCATATATACTGTTTATGTATATGTATGTGTGTGTGTGTGTGTGTCTCTCTCTCCCCCCCCTCTCTCTCTCTATGTGTGTGTGTGTGTGTGTGTGTTAAGTTTTCGCGGGTACTTACATGCATGGTATTCAGCTTTGTTCGGGTATTTTCCCACGTCATTATAGTTGTGCTTTTAAAGTTGTAGCAACATTTCGGCAGGATCTCATCTGCCAAAAGCCTGATGATGGCAGATGAGATTCTGCCGAAACGTTGCTACAACTTTAAAAGCACAACTACAATGACGTGGGAAAATACCCGAACAAAGTTGAATACCATACATACATACATACATACATACATACATACACACACACACACACACACACATATTTCTATGTTCATATACTTAATTTCTAATTTCCATTTTTTCCAACCATTGATAAAATAATTCCCATATCATATAATATTCAGTTTGCTCTTTTTCTTTAATTACCAGTGTTAATCTATTCATTTCTGCACATTGTAATTTTTTTTCCTAATCACTTTCTCTTCTATAGGAATCTTTTCACTTTTCCAGTTTTGAGCAAATTTCTAGCTGCAGTTAATACATGAATAATTAAATATATCTTTTCTTTGCTATAACTTTCAGGTATCACCTCTAACAAAAACATTTCAGGTTTTAAATCTATATGTTGCTTTGTCATCTTTTCCAACCACGTATGTATTTTTGTCCAATATTTCTTAGCTTCTATACATGTCCACCACGTGTAGTAATATGTTCCAGGTGTCTGATGGCATTTCCAACACTTAGCTGATTTATCTTTGAACATCTTTGCCAGTCGTACTGGCGCAAGATGCCACCTGTAAAATGTCTTGTATAAGTTTTCTTTATATGCTGTTGACATTGTTAATTTATAATTTCTGTTCCAGAGTTTCTGCCTTTCGTTTAGTTCTATTGCATAGCCTATTTTTTTTTTTTTGCCCACACCATCATCATCACTTGTTGTTCTTCCAGTTTAGTAACCAATAAATAATTATACAATTATTTATTACCTCCCATGAATTTCATGCCTTCCCCGAACTGGGGCAGATTTGAACCTGTAACTCTTGATTACTGTTTTTCCCCCCTGCAGATTAAGGAGCCGGCTGAGCGGCAGAAGTTTTTCCAAGAACTCAGCGACAACCTGGATAGTTTCCCAGAGGACTTCTGTCGCCACAAGGTCCTTCCCCAGTTGCTGATGGCATTTGAGTTTGGGAGTGCGGGGGCCATCATCCTCACCCCGCTCTTTAAGGTAAACCCCCCTGCGGAACGAGGAAGGGGACCAGGATCCCCGGGGTTTGGGGGTGGGGGAAAACCAGAAGGGATCCTCCAAAAGTTGGAGAAGGATGGAGATTGTAGCTCAGGGTAAAGAATCTGACTTCATTTATTTTAATCCTGGCACACCTGTTGTGTGTTCTCTTGCTTCTGTGATTGTGGTGACATGCAGACAACAACATATATGTACACCTGCTCTTTGCAGTCCAATCAATGTATACTTTTTTTAAAAAAAATGATTTTCTATTAAATATATTTTTTCCCAATAAGTTTTTTTTTATTTTTCAATATAAACATACATATTTTGTGGACATTGCATTGACTTGGTCAAGTCTTTGTTAAGCAGCAGTAACAATAATAATACAAATAGGTATGTGTGATGACCCGGGGCGTGGCACAAAAATAACCAAGGCACAAAAATACAATAAAGTTCCTTTAATGCCTCCGACTTGGCCCAGTGTCCAATTATCTTCGGCTGGAAATCAAACTCTTAATGAAAACAGTTTACAGAGGGAGGAAATGCAGTCCGCATCCAAAGTAAAGTGAATTCGAAATAAAAAATACCCAACACAAACCACACTGAAGGAATTACTACGGTAGGCAAGGATGATTAATTGCAAACTTCTACCAGATAACTGCAGCAACCACAGTTGGGAGGAAGTCAAAACACAGATAAGCTCTGACAAGAATGCAGGCTTTGCTTCCAGCAACTTTGCCATGCGCAGTTTGTCCTTTTAACCAGTCCTTCCAGCTGCAGCCCATGAAGGGGATCAGGGCCCCTTCCTCCCCCATAGACCGTGCCACTCACGTTTCTCCCTTATCCTTTCCTTCCTGCGTGCCCTAAGATGAAGAGGGGATGGGCCTGTGTCTTCCTCTGACTGCCCATCCGGCCTGTGCCCTTCCCCAGTTTCCTCCACAACCACCAGAGCCACACTCCCACTCCCTGTCGGTTGTTCCACCTCTCTGTCTGGAGTCAGACTCCAACAGGGGCATGACAGTATGTGCAATTCTAATCTTCCACAACTTCAACAATGCTATTCTCTTTTCATAATCCATTTGATAATCCATAGGCTGAAAAACAGCTTTTACCCCAGGGCAGTAACTCTATTGAATTCTACTGTCTAGTGCAATATGAATGCAATATCAGGGGTTTTCAATTCAATGCATAGAATGTGAAGGATGTGTGTTTGTGCTTTATTGTCATCGTCATAATGTACGCTGAAGATAGTATTTAATTTCGCTGTACGAGGTGCAATGACAATAAACTAAACTTAAACTAAATTTCTCATTTTCCCATTAGTTCATTTAAACATAAATAACATTTCTTTGAGTCCTGTATTTATAGTTCTTAAATACTATTATTTAATATTTTTTTTAAGAATTATTCATAGTTCCACCATAACTTCAATATTCCAAATGCACCAAATAGTAACAATATTTAATCAAGCGTATTTCAAAATCCCACACAAATTCTAGTCTTAAATATATTTCTTAGTGCTTATTAAACATCGGGTTCTCTGGGTGTTTAATTTACTTAATACAAATTTGCATTCTTCATCTCCACCCCTTTTTTCCAACCATCAGTAAAATAAATTCCATGTTTGATAACATTCTACATTTTCTTTCTGTTTAATTTCCAATGTCAACATTTTTGCACAATCTAGCATCTTCCTGACTATCTTCATCTTGGGGTGTTTCTTCATGTTTCTACTATTGTGTGAATATAATCCTTGCTGCTGTAAAGACATGTAATGTTAAATACATATTTTTCTTATCAATTTTTTCTGATATTATGCCTAATAAAAACAATTCAGATTTAAAATCTACATGTTTCCCCTATCATCTTTTTTTAGCCACCTGTGTATCTTTGCTGAATTTTTTTTTGCTTCAATCGATGCATACTTGAAGATCTAACGGAAGTGTGACAGAATGCAATTTGTGTTGCAAGTTTAAATACAAAAAAAACAACAACCCCTGAGCCTTTTCCGACTATAAAATACAAGATATGTACAAACTAGCTCGATCCCCGTGCTTCGCAATGAGACTATGTGGTCGGGCTTAGTTTTGGGGGAGGAAAATAAGGGGAAAAAAATTCTGCCTCTGCCTACCAGCATCCATTGGTATTCATCTAGCTAGCGTCCTATCACTGTGTGAGAGAGTTGAGGGGCTGTTTGGAAACTGAAACAGTATTCGTTGTGTGAGCAAGGAGGAGACATCAAGGAGCCTGGGCGTGGCTTAGCTCAACTGTTCTGTACTAAAGCTGCTTGGTGCTATAAAACTGAAACTCCTCTCTGCTTGTTTTTTGCATTTGGAAGAGCAGATTTCTTTTCATGTGGGGAAAGGGAGTAGAACTCCTAAGCATCAGAGCCTATTAATAATAATAATAATATAGGAAATACTAAGGTTCTGATGGTCATTTCGAAAAATCTTTTCTTAGTGAGCCCCTAGAAACCAAGAGGAACATATGGGCCAAATTTCAACTTTGTAAGCTTTACGGTTCTGGAGATTTTGTGATGATGTGTGAGTGATATTTTGTTTTTATATTATATATGTAGAAGATATATAGAAGATTAAGCAGACCTTGCTTAATTTGGTCAAGATCTGCTTACTTTGCAGATTTAGACATATCTCGTATTTTATAGTTTAAATTTATTTTTTAAAATTTTTATGTCATGTAGTGTGACTTATTTCAATTGTGATGCTTCTGATACAAATAAACAACCTGTTGTGTATATTCAAGATGCTTATTTGAAATCGTCCCTTTCTCTCTCTCTCTCTCTCTCTCTCTCTCTCTCCTTCCCTTGCTTTTCTTTTCTCCTTTTCCAGGTGGGGAAATTTTTGAACAGCCAGGAATACCAGCAAAAAATCATCCCCGTCATTGTGAAGATGTTCTCTTCCCCGGATCGGGCCATGAGGATCCGTTTGCTGCAACAGGTTGGCCGGTGTCCAAATGACAAATAGTTGCGATTGGGATTGTGGATTTGTTAGAGAAAGGACATAGTTGTGTGCCCTTGGCTCTTCCTTTTAAATAGAGCCATAGTGTCAGGATTCCGGCAGTTGCCCTCATTAAACCATGAGCCTCGAGCCAAACTTCAAAAACTTCAAAGGATTTATTAGGAGCGAACATGATATGATCTGTATAAAGCCGATTCTGAGACACGTAATTCCCTGTCACCCTTGACCCTGGTCTCCCTGCACCCCTTTGGGGGACAGGGGCAGGCGTGCATGCACACATTGCACGAGTGCGGCCCTGAGCGCCCATGAAGCTTGTGTGAGTGAGGACCCAAGCGCCGTGAAGCTTGCAATGAGGGAGGCCGCGTGCGTGCACGCATGTTGCGAATAGGCCGTGGCCCGGTAGTGGGCCACAGCCTTCACAAGTTGGGTACCCCTGGATTACGGGGACATTTAAAATAATAATAATAATAATAAAGCCAGGATACAAATAAGTCAAAAAATTAAATTGTGTTAATGCAGCCCGTGGGGTTAGCGCTTGGTTTTAGCGCAGGATTCCTGCAGTTACCCCTATTTAAATCATGAGTCTCAAGCCGCACTTCCGAAACTTAAAGATGATTTATTAGGCGTTAAAATGTCCGGCACTGCCTGGATGGAGCCGACTCATTCACTGTCACCCTTGGCCCTGGTTTTCCCTCCACCCCCTGGGTGTATCGTAATTCATATTCTCCAATGGGACACCTCCATAGCCCAGAGTCATCAATCAGGCTCCCCAGTTAGATATTTGCTGCAGCAGAAACTTCAGTCACTTAGTTACTATCTTTGAAAAACTAGGTATGGAATGCACTTTCGGTTTGCAAGCTGCCACACTGCTCTTTCAAAACCCCTTCCCCCCACCCCTTTCTGTTGGCAACTCTAAAAAGATCATCGAAATATTTTATGAGTTGACGCCTAGGCCTGTTGGGTTGTGTGAACCTGCCCGGTGCAAGCAAGGGAGTGAAATTGCCGAGGCACCGACTGACGGCAGACGTTTCCCCTCCAGATGGAGCACTTCATCCAGTACCTGAATGAGCCCACGGTCAACACCCAGATCTTCCCCCACGTGGTCCACGGCTTCCTGGACACCAATCCAGCCATTCGGGAGCAGACGGTGAAGGTGAGGCAGAGGAGGAGGCGGAGGGTATACCAAAAGGGATGTGAGAAGGACCTTGGGAGGCGGGATGAAACAGACGCTGCCAGATAAGAGACAGCGTCGCCCTCAGCTGCGTAACGGGCGGAAGAAAGAATTTCTCAGACTGTAAAAGAGACGGTAGGAGATTACAAGATACTATTAATGTAGCTTTCAGGGAGCGTTGGATAAGAGACTGCACAGCCCTCAGCTGCATAACAGGTGCAGAAAAAGGCTCCAAAGGGGCCTCCCTTAACTTCCTAAAGCTATAAAATAGATGGCGGAAAAAAAGACCACAAGGTGATCCCGTTTTGTGTCTCCCCCCCCCACAGTCCATGCTGCTCCTGGCTCCCAAGCTGAACGAGGCCAACCTGAACGTGGAACTCATGAAGCACTTCGCTCGCCTCCAGGCCCGGGACGACCAAGGCCCCATTCGTTGCAACACCACCGTGTGCCTGGGCAAGATTGGGCCATACCTCAGTGCCAGCGTGAGTGGACACGGCTTCGAGGAAGCAGAGGGAGGCTTTCGGAGCAGGCGGTGGGAAGTTGGGCAGCTCCAGAGCAGGGGTCGCCAACCTTTTGGACCTCAGGGATCACCAAACACATAATTTTAAATCCCAGGGACCCCTAACCGGTTCTGTGGGTGTGGCCTAATTTGTGGGTGTGGCTTGGTGGTCATGTGACTGGCTGGGCATGGCTTGTATGTAAGTATCATAAATATTTACATAAATATTGATTTTTTTTTATAAAAAAGAGCAACTTTTACCCAAAATCAAGCAAAGAAGGCAGGCAGATTGAATTGCTCACAGATTCATTCAGAGATCTATCTATCTGCCATCGGCTAGCTCAGTCTCTCAAATTTGCTTGCTGTGAGTCTGCGCTGAATAATAGAACCTTCAATCCTAAGGGAGGTTCAGCTGTGCTTAAAAGCAGAGTCGAAGATCTAAAGACTAGCTAGAAAGCAAGAAATCCAACTATTTCCTGCTTCCTAGCTAATCTTAATCTCCTGGCACAGCAGAACAGCTGATGTTCGGAAAAAGGAAAAAATAGCAATTTAGCAGGCAAGTTTGCCGGGTAAGGAGTGAGTGGGCGGGAAGGGTTCCCGCGGGCCATGTGAGCTGTGCAGCCTTGTGTTTCTGCGCAGCCTGGATTAATTGCTTTGTGGGGGGTGCTCTGGGGGTGAGATTTCTCTGCAGCCCACAGGTTGGTGACCGGTGCTCTACAGCAGGGATGTCCAACTTTGGCCATTTTTAGATCTGTGGACTTAAAACTCCCAGAATTCTGCGAGTTGAAGTCTAGAAATCTTCAAGTAGCCAAGGCCAGCTGGGGGAATTCTGGGAGTTGAAGTCCAGAAGTCTTCAAGTAGCCAAGGCTGGCTGGGGAATTCACAGAAGGGAATCTGACCCTGGGCCACAGCAACAGTCATAAATATGAGTCAAGTCACCAAGCTTCTGAATTTTGACCAGGCGACCACGGGGAGGCTGCCAAAGTTGTCACTGTGAAAAATTGTTGTTAAACCATTTTTCCCCAGTGCCGTTGCAACATTGCCTGGTCATTAAATGAATTGTTGTAAGTCGAGGACTTGCAACAAAAAGGCCTTGGCGGAGGATGGGGCAGCCTGGGCCGGGCTCCTCGGTCCCTTCTTGGTGCCGTTTTGTGTTCTAGCTGAGCTCAAGCTGTTTGCTGGATCTTCTCTTTACAGACGAGGCAGAATGTGCTGATCTCGGCCTTCAGCCGGGCCACCAAAGACCCCTTTGCCCCCTCGCGGGCCGCTGGAGTCCTGGGCTTCGCCGCCACCCACAATTTCTTCTCCATGAAAGAGTGCGCCTTCAAAATCCTGCCGGTGCTCTCCACCTTGACGGTGGACCCCGAAAAAACAGTCCGGGACCAGGTGAGCGGGAGGGCAAACTCCCCTCAGGGATCTCTGAAGTCCACGGAGGAAGTAGACCCACTTGAGGGGGTCCTTGGTGCTCTCTGAACCTCCTTGTTTTCTTGCAGACGTTTCATTACCAACCTAGGTAACATCATCAGTGCGATCGGTAGAAAGGAATGCTGTTTGCTGTTAATTTGCTCCTTCCTAGCACTGATGATGTTACCTAGGTTGGTAATGAAACGTCTGCAAGAAAACCACCAAGGAGCACACAGTTGTTGCCGTCATCACTTTTGTCGTCATCCTCTTCCTCCTTTCTGCACACCCCACTCCCTTCTAGCACTGATGATGTTCCATAGTTGGGCAATGAAACGTCTGCAAGAAAACAAGTCAGCTCCGAGAGCACCAAGGACCCCTCGTTTCAACCCCGAGCTGCAAATATTCTTCTTAATTGGCAGGTCCAGTTCTTCCAGTCCATTGCTCCGTCCTTGCCTCCTATTGCACAGGGGCACCTCACCAGGTGAATCTCTGCCCCTACAGGGGTGCCCTTGACCAATCCGAAGGAAGGACGCCGGGAAAAGGACGCCTGCAGTTGCTTTATTGGCCAGAAAGTGGAGTGTGGATTTAATAATTGAAAAAATAAAATAAAAATGCCCGCATCTTTGGGTGCATTGGAACCACAAATTAAAGGGGAGGCTAGTCTAATACAGGCAGGCCTCGACTTACGACCATCCTTAGGACTGGAACTTCCATTGCTATAAGAAATGGTTGTTAGTGCCCAAGGCCTCATTTTATGACCCTTTTTTTTTTGCCACAGTTTTTAAGTGAATCTGGCTTCTTTCATTGACTTTGCTTTTTGGAACGGTCATAAGTCCCTTTTTTCAGTGCTGTTGTAACTTTGAACAGTCACTAAGTGAACTACCTATAAGTCGAGGACTACCTATGGTTTAAACCAGGGGTGGCCAACCTTTTGGACCTCAGGGACCACCAAACTCATAATTTTAAATCCTGTGGACCAGAGACCCTGGGAAAATCTCCCCAAAATCTGCAGGAAAATCCCCCACCCCGTTTTCCTACCGATCGATTGTTCTTTACTTGGGATCGCAGGATATCGTCTCCAGCTCCGTTCTCAAGGAGGGGGTGGGGGAGAGAGAGAGAGAGACTTTTGGCTTCATGCAAGGAAAGCAGCAAAAGTCTTTCTTTCCCTCCCCCAAACTCCGCCAGAAATGAGTCTTTGCCGGCGCAGCCTCTTGGGGCAGGAGGCCTTGCAGGGTCCCAAGGACTCATTTCTGGTGGAGTTTGGGGGAGAGAAAGGAAGACTTCTGCTGCTTTCCTTGCGTGCAGCCAAAAGCAGAAGAAGAAAGAAGCGGAAAGAAGCAGCCCGGTGGCCAGGCCAGGCGCGTGGGACGAGTAGGGCAAGTTCCCCCCGTCTGCCCTTTTCCCCCTCCCCTCACTACCTCGTGTTATTCACAATGCAAGCGACGCAAGCCTTGTGTTGCCACGCAACCTGGATTAATTACTTTGGGGGGACGTTTTTCTGTGGACCACCAAAATTTTCTCGCGAACCACCAGTGTCCCTGGCCCACTGGGTGGCGACCACTGGTTTATAGAACCGCGGGGAAGCTTGTGATTGTGTTGACTTTTTCTTTTTTTAAAAAAAAAAAACACACACACACATTTTTGAGTCTCTCCCTTTGCTCTTTTCCATCAGGCCTTCAAAGCCATCCGCAGCTTCTTGACTAAATTGGAGACGGTCTCAGAAGATCCGGGTCAGCTCTCAGAGCTTGGTGAGACCATCCTGACAACCCATAGGAGCCAAGGAGTTGGGTTTGGACTTCGGGCCTGGTGGTTTGTTCTAAACCAGGGTGGGCAACTGGCAGTCAAGGACTGTGTGCCTGGCTTGGCCCGCTTTGCAAACCCCTCCCAGGCTCCCTTTTCCTGCTTTGAGCTCTGGCCACGCCTCCTGCTTAGAATGCGAGGCCCCGCCCAATATATTTGGGCCGCCTGGATCTGGTTCCCTGGAATCATAGAGTTCTAGGGCTGGAAGGGACCTTTGGGGTGGGGGTGGGGGCTTGCTGGCTGGGGAATTCTGGGAGTTGAAGTCCACGTGTCTTAAAATTGCCAAATTTGCAGAGTCCTGTAATCTAGTAGGAGACACCCCCCCCGCCCCCCCACCCCAGTGTCAGGCCTGTCGCAGTTTGGACATTTAAGGAAGAAAGACCCTCGACTCCCCTTTGCAGCGAAAGGCGTTTACTTTTACTAAAGCTAATTGGTTCAGCATAGGAAAGCCAGATTGGAAGATTCCCACATACGCCCAGGTTAAGAAGAGACTGGACCAAACTTTTGTCTGGAAGGGTGTAGGACTTCTTGCCTGGACATGGGGTTGGACTAGAAGATCTTCCCTTCCAACTCTTGTTCTCCTGTTAGTCCAACCTACTGCTCAAAAAAGCACTTCCTGGCATTACAACAGTGTGACCCGAACCCGGGACTCGGCCCAGGGGCGGAATTCAAAAATCCCAGCAACCGGTTTGCTGCCCAGTTGCTGGGTGGGCCTGGCCATGATGGATGTGGCCTACCAGAACTTCCGGGGGGGGGCAGTTTTTCATGTCCCCAAGGGCACCTTGGCTTCCCTCGGGCCTCTGGGCGGGTGAAAATGGCCTCCCCTGGTCTCTGGAGGCCCACCGGAAGCCAGAAACAGGAGGGCCATTTTCCCCCTCCCACAGCCTCTGCGGGGACCCTGCCCTTACCTGCATGCAAAACGGGCCGTGCGGAGATTCCTGGGAGGGGTGGGCGGGGCCAGCTGGTTGGTTCAACTACCGATTCGGCGAACCAGATGTAAATTTAACAACCGGTTCGCTCAAACCGGCCTGAACCGTCTGAATCCCACTCCTGACTCTTCCCTTTCTCTCTCTCTGTCTCTGTCTCTCTCTCTCTCTTTAGAAAAAGATGTCCAGGCCGCTTCCATCAGTCCCGGGGTGGGCTCAGCCGCAAGTTGGGCTGGCTGGGCTGTGACGGGGGTCTCGTCCCTGACGTCAAAGCTGATCCGGGCAAACGCTGGAACGACGCCGGGAGCAGAACCGGTGGCCGAGGACGCCCCCGTCAAGAAGCCGGCGGAGCCTCCCAAATCAGGTCAGTGGGGCTGCTAACCCACCCCGGGCAGCGTCCCAATTTTGACTGCCGAGGAGGCCTAAGGAGGCCTTGTCTGGGTTAGGTGGGCTGTGTGAAGGGGGCCAATTTTGCAATACAGGTGTAGAGAACCATTCGTTCCGTGGCCATTGAAAAAAAAGAGACCCAGGACCACTTTTCACAGAATTACGGCCATTGCCGGATCCCCGTGGTCACATGATCAGAATCCGGGTGCTTGGCAGCCGATTCGTATTTATGACGGTTGCGGCGTCTCCCCGGGGGGGCGGTCACGTGTTTCCCTTCTGCGACCTGTTGTGAAGTCCGTGGAGAAGCCAGATATCACTTCATAACCACGTGGCTGACTTGACAATTGCAGCGTTTCACTCAACAACGGTGGCAAGAGAGATTGTAAAATGGAATAAATTCCACGGACCTCGCTGAGCAATGGATATTTTGGGGTTCAGTTGTGGTCATAAGTGGAGGACTACTTGCAATATTTAAAACATTTATATATCTACCATTTCTCTATCTCTCTATAATAGATCTACTATTTATCTATATATCTATCATCTCTCTCTCTCTCTCTCCGTACCTACCTACCTATTTTTCTATCTATCACCTGTCATCTCTCTCTGTACCTACCTGCCTACCTACCTACCTATCTAACATCTGTCTGTCTATCAGTGGTGGGATTCTACCAATTTCCCTACTGGTTTGGTGATAGCGCACTTTGTGAGTACAGGTGCGCGTGCATAGCTTTCCCCACACCACCTGAGGCCTGCAGCGCCAATCAGCTGAGAGGATGAAGAAGAGAAAAGCGCAGGGGCCGGTGGGAGGGCCAATCCTGCGCTTTTCTCTTCTTCATCTCTCAGCTGATCGTGGAAGGCTTTTTTTGCTACCAGTTCA